CCCCACTCCCCCCACTCCCCCCTCTCTTCCCCTCTCCCCCTTCAGGAGCAACGTCTTTTCGAATAAATAATTAATTTATTTTATTAAATAAGAATTTGCAGACAACACATCCGTATGGTGTCCTGTTTTTTATGTTGTCATCCTGTTTCCAATGACACGTCATACTACTTTAGGTCACACATTAAGCCGTATCCTTTTTCCTCTCTCTCTCTCTCTATCCTCTTTCACTTCAAGTTTTTTTACATAAAACTTTTCGTTAAAAATATTATTATTACTATTATTATTATTATTATTATTTAAATAAAACGCGTGAAACAGGATTTTTTTTCTTGTCAACTGGAATTTTTTTTTTTTTTTTCTCTCTGATTATTACATATTAAACCCTTTCGGCATCGATTATCACGGAATCAGTAGAAAATTATTATTATTATTATTATATTTTTTTGACAATCTACGAAAAATTACATAATTTATTAATTTTATTTTAAATAAAAAAAGGATCAAATATGGCGTCTTTGTCAGATCAAGGAAATCACACACACACAAATTTTTTTTTTTTTGCCTCGAATTAAATTTCTCACGAATTAAATTTTGACCTTTATATTATTTATTTATTACTCAACGAAATTCGAATTAAATAATAATAATAATAATAATAATAATGATATAAAAACCTAATTTAAATTATTATTATTATCATTATTATTTAAAATTCCGCAATTCTCCCAACCTTTCTCACATAAATAATTTATTATTATTATTATAAAAATAAGAGAGATAAAAAAATTTTAAATTTAAATTTTTCTCTGAATTTCCGCAAATTAAAATAATAATAATAATAATAATAATAATAATGATAATATTATAAAAAATTCCAGTTCGACGTCCGGTTCGTTGACAATAAAAACGTTTCCGGTTCGTTTTTTTTTTTAAATTGGGAATTTTGTTGGATTGCTCATCGAAAAAAATTTATTTTTATTTTTTTTTTTTTTTTACGTTCCAGGATGACGAAAATAATAATAATAATAATAATTTTTACCCGAAGTTTTTTTCCAGAATGATTAAATGTAAATCTAATGGGACTCTAGCGAGGATTCATATCGAATAATAATAATAATGGTAAATAAGATAACGTCGAGTTTATGGAAATCATTTAAAAAAAAAAAAAAGCTGGATACTCCCAACAAACTGGAACAAACTGGAATAAATTTCATCGTGTTTAGATATTATTATTATCATATTTTAAATAATTGTTAGAATTTCCAAAGATTTGATGGGGAAAAAAGACAAAATTTTCCATAAAAATCATTTTTCCCGGACAAACCACATTTGTAATTTTTTAATAATTTTGTTTTTTCGGTTTTATTATTTTAAACTTTTTAAGTTGCACACACGCACAAGACACACGCACACGCACACGCACAAGCATCCTTATTCGCGTAGGTTTTTTAATGTCATCAAGATAATTAACGTATTAGTACTCATTTAGCCTTCATTTGATGATGGACTTGGGTCGTTAACATTATGGCATCCCCAAAACTATATAAATAATTCAATAAATTTATTTTTAACGTTTTTATTTAAAAAATTTCTCCAGTCTTTGATAAGTTAAAGCTGGATCATTTTCCCGATCCCATTGTCCTTGGCATTTAAATTTTCTCACAAAAAAATTTTTTATTTTTCATTTCGTTCGCCATCTTTCTTTTTTTTTATACTCTCAATATTATAAATATATTTTTTTTTTTGTTATAAATAATTGATAAAAATCGAATTTAATAAAACGTGACCGAAATTTTCTTATAATATTTCTTATGCCTTTAAGGTTAAGGGTCAAAGTTCGTTTTTACTTCCACTACGATTTCATTTCATGTTTCTTTTAAACATCTAATTATATATTTTTTAATTTTTCATTCATGGATTCGATAAAATAAATAATAATAATAATAATGATGTTTAGTAGGCGTGTTTTATAAGTGGTGATGATGATGATGATGATGATGATATAAGGGAAAATTGTTCTGGGTTAGGTTAAAATTTTCTCAATTTATTTATTACACACAGTTTATCGTCATCATTTCTCAATAGTATTTTTTTTTTTTTTTGCCATTCGGACGTGAGCGTTAATGTTTTTGTGCCCCCCATCCCCCCATCCCCCTCCCCTCTTCCCCCCGTTTAAAAAAATAAACTAAGCGATACTATAGAAAGTTTTTATTTATCGTTAAGTAATTTTCTTTCTGTTTTCGACCAAGTTTTACTTTTTTTTTTTTTTTTTTTTTTTTTTTTGAAAATTCAATTAAATTAGGCAATAAAATTAAAAATTTTTGTTATTATTATTATTATTATTATTATTATTATTATTATTATTATTATTATGATTTTAAAAAATCATAATTTGTTGCACATCACTTTATTTTTTTTTTAGTTTGTTCATACGCTGAATTACATAAACAACCTTGAAACAAACAATCTTAGATCAAATGAGAGAGAGAGAGAGAAAAAAAATAAATAAGAACAATTTTTTTTTTTTTTTTTTTTCTAGAAAATTCTTGTTTGGAAAAATCATCGACCGGATCAAGATTCTGGATTTAATGGTGGTGAAGGTCACCTCGAGAGGCAGCATCGCGAAGAAGAAGAAGAAGAAGAAAAACGATTAAATATTTACTCTTACTGGGAACCAGGAAGTTTGTAAGTATATTTTTTTCTTTTGTCTACTGCATGACTGACCCCCACGAATAATAATAATAATAATAATAATTTAGATAAATGATCACTTACCTAAATCCATTTCGGCAGGATGAGAATAACATCCGTCGAGTTTAACATAATCAACATCCCACGAAGCAAAAGTTTGAGCATCTTTTTCAAGGTGTCCTAAAATTCCCGGATAACCTGCACACGTGTAATTTCCATAATCTTCGTAAATTCCAAATTTCAAACCTTTGCTATGTATCTGAGTAAACGAGTATATTATTATTATTTAATATACTTTTTTTTTTTTAAAAGTAGTTGTAAACAAACAGGCTTACATAATTCGAGAGGTCTTTTATGCCGTAGGGAAATCTTTCACGATCTGCCACCAATTGTCCAGCAAAATTTCTTTCTTTTTCTAACCAACAATCATCAATGTTAATATATTTATAACCGGCAGCAGCGTATCCTTCGGACACAACCAAATCTGCCATTTTACGAAACAATCGATCGCTGGAATAAAAATCACACGGATTTATAATAGTTGTTGTTGTTGTTGTTTGTTATCATTACGATGATATTACATAATGTTTAAATACGTTGTAATAAATCCTTATTAGGCGTTTATAAAAAAAAAAAAAACAACAAGAACAATCATTAATAATAATAACTATGAAATTTTTCACACGATACTAATTTATTACGATTAATTAAAAAAAAAAATTTCCTTTATCGTAAAACGAAAAAAAAATTCTAATCATTTGTTTTAATAATGTGACACACCTAATTAATTTTTTATAACGATTACGAAATTATTACAACTTTACAAAAAGAAAAAAATTTAAATTTTCTTTAAAAAAAAAAAAAAGAAGTATGGTAGTATGTAAATTAACGAACGATGAGTTTTCAATCGGTTTCCAAAAAAGAAAAAAAAAATTTTCACACGAATTTTTATAATTACCTAATACCTTTTACCCTAATAATAATAAATATCCTAATACCTTTTATCGATTTCCAAAAAAAAATTTCACACGAATTTTATAATTACCTAATACAATTATCTGGGTCATTTTTACAATCCGTGTTACATCTGAACCTTTCCCAGCTTAACCAACCCATCGGTGGCGTCCTTGCAAGGCCATTTTCTAGGCCGCTTACTGTATTTGCCAGAAGCACGCATAATAACGTGCTTATAAACATAACTGTCAACTGAAAACAAAAACATAAAAACATAAAAAAAATTATTTATTTATTTATTTATTAATTTATGAATTTTCAATTTCACATTATCGAACCGTAAAAAAAAAAAAAAAAAAAAAAAAACGCGCTTTCACTAAACTACATTTTTTTTTTACACAAAACTTATTTTTTTACATTGTTGTTGACATAAATATTCGAGACTCACATTATTTAACTTATCCATTGAAAAAAATTGAGGATTAACGTGGGGGGAGGGGAGATCTACTTATAGAGATGAGAGTGAAAGTTTAATACGCTATGAACGCTTCGGTAAATGCAATAATTTAAGGTACCATCCAACGCAATACCTATTTTTCTGTTAAACGATCGATTTAAATATTTGAAATGAAGTTTCAACGGTTTTTATGGTATGTTAAATACACATGATGATGATGATGATGATGATACAGACACCATTGATGTTTTTTATTCTTTTGTTTTAATCACAAAAACTTTTGTTCGGAGCAAAAAAAAAAAACCTTGAAATCCATCGACGATAAATAGGTAGAAAGGATATCAGAATTTGTTGTTGTTGTTGTTGTTTAAAAATTTGTTTAGGTATTCATCATCTGGCCTTTGCCATTATTTTAAGGTGCGGACTAAAAATCTAATAATATAAAGGAATAAATAATGTTTTCCATTGTCGGATTCATTTTTCTTTTTTTTTTTAATTTAATAATAATTAATAATATTAAGATGGCAAAAAAAAGAAGAAATTTCTCATCCATGTTACTCATGCAGAAATTATGCAATGATCGGTTTTAATTCTTCATTATTTCAACATCGACATTATTATTATTATTATAATATTTGCAAAATTTAATTGGGATTTCATATTAATTAAATGCCAGATTATAATTTTTTTTTTTAATAAAGTAATCTCAAATCTTTGATGATCAAAAAAAAATTATAATAATATCCACCTTGGCCTCTTTTATCGAAATTGACTCGTTTTCCTTTGACATCTTTTTCTCTCCTCGCCGCCATTACACCAAATAGACAAACGACTCTTATAATATTATTATTATTATTAATTTAATTCGATTTGATTTGAAAAACAAGCCGTAACTTATTTGTTTTATTTCTAATTCGAGGACACTTCTTTTGATTTGTTTTTTAAAATTTGTCATGATTGAATAACGATGATGCTCTCTCTCTCTCTCTTATTAAAATGAATAAATTTATATAATATTATAAAGGGTGGCCACGTATTAATTTCGAGATGTTTTTGCGACCTTTAACTTGTTTGCTATGTCATCAATACTATCAAAATACCGGTGATATTTCGAGAATGAGTCAAAAAAAAAAAAAAAAAATGTCAGTGTCAGGCAAGGGAGACTTGTTGACCCCCACCTAAAGATTCGCGGTTTGTTTGTTTCTTCTTATGTAATAATTTTATTTAAATAATATTTTATTTATTACAATTGCAATTTTTTTATTTATTTATTTTATATTCGATGTCAAATCCAGTATTTAAAAAAAACTTATAACCCGAAAACAAATTAATAAAAAAAAAAAAAAAAAAAAAATCTGCTCTTATATCCCTATCCTATCCCCATGGTCGTCCTTCACCGCCTTCTCGATTAAAAAAAAAAAAGATTTATGGTTCTCATCTTTAACAACAAACAATTAACATTATACTCACGTACTTATAAAAAAAAATAAAATATCACGGAATCGATTAATAATTTATTTATTTATAAATAAAAAATAATAATAATAATAATTGGGTTTATTACTTTTACTTTTTTTTTTTTGATAACTAATCATATTTGACCCGTTTAAAAAAAAAAATCGTTCGATTGATCGATTGATCGAACGATTTCGATTGTGCTGGAACGAGAAAGAGAGAGAGAGAGAAGGATAGATAGAATAACATTGAATTTTTATTACGGAATATAATAATAATAATAATCATGAAAATAGAATTTAAAAAAAAAAAAGAAAAATTGTGCAATAGAATAAAAAAAAAAAAAAAAACAAGAAATCGTGGTTTTCTGTTTAAAATAAAAACTATATTCGAATAAATGTGACAAGATCATTAAATTATCGAAGATGATTGTGTAAATAACGAACAAGAAGAGTAAACGTTTAAAAAAAAAAAAAGATTTGAATTTTAATATGTTGCAAAATTTTTTTTTATTTTTTTTTTAAATAGAAAGCAAGTGATCTTTTAAAGGAAGTTGCATAATAATAATAATAATAATAATAAAAAGATAATGAAAAAAATTTCGCACAGTTAAATATTATGAATCAAATTTACAAGAAATGAATTTTTTCTTCCCCCCATTCCCCCCTCCCCCTTCCCCATTTTCTAAAATAATTAAAATGTCGGTCGATTTATAATTATATACATTTTTAAACAAAAAAAAACTTTTACGTAAAAATAATACACGTTGTTGTTGTTGTTGTTGTTTGTTGTAAATTGAATAACAAACAATTTAATTATTTAATGGTATGAATCGAATAATAAAAAATAGTTTTAAATTTGAATTATTTTTTACTTTATTTTATATGACAAACATTAAAATAATTAGTTGAGTAATCGTAATGATAATAATAATAATAATAATAATTTGTTGGACACATAAAAAACTTTCTCTTCCTCATCTTTTGCTTGAATGCAATATTTTTAAGCTCGAATACTTTTATTTACACTTAAATTTTAATAATCCCATATTATTGTTGTTGTTTTTTATAAATTTCGTTTGTTACAAACAAACAAACAAAATAATAATAACTGGGTTATTCATAGTCACGAAATATTCTTAATTTTTTGGCTAAAATTTGAATGTTTTTCCTTTCTTTCTTTCTTTTTTAAAATAAGTTACCTCGAAATTTTGTAATCCTTATAAACTTTCTTCTTTTTTTTAAAATTTTATTTTATTTAATATTTTAACGCCGGTATTATAATGAATTTTCACCATTTGGATAATTACTTATTGGAAAGTAAGAAAAAAAAAAAAAAAAATTTTTTTTAAATAATTAATTCAAAATAAAAGTTGTGTATAAGAAAGTAAATAATGTGCTAAATTTAACAGAAAAGTAGGCAAAAAAAAATAAAAATAAAAATAAAAATAAAAATTTTTCTTATATAAAATCTAGGTCGTTAACAAATTTAATTAATTTTTATAAACAATTATATTATTTTAAAAAAAAAAAAAAATTTTTAAAACGTAAAAATTGTGTAAATTTTAACCGTTAACCGTTTGTTTAAAAAATTTTATTTTTTGGTATTAATAAAAACAACAACAACAACAAACAACAAACATTCATTTTATTATTTTATTTCTTAACGTTTTAAATTAGAAAAGAAATAAAATGAATGAGCGGAAGTTTAAAAATAAAAAAACTTTCATTTTATTTTAATGCCATAAAAAAAAAAAAAAAACGTTTTTCTTTTTTAATTTAATTTTTTAAAAGTATTATTTTATAATTATCATTGTGTCAAATCAAAAAAATTTATTATTTAATAATGATACGTGGATTTTTTTAAACGATGAATTACTTGAAATGATTTTTTGAAAAATTTCTCTAGTTACACGACATTTTTAAAAATCGTTCGTGTAGGATTTCAGTTAAAAAACGTTGATTTTAAAATAATAATTGATTTCCAAAAAAAAAAAAAAGATGATACGAAATAATAATAATAATAATTGTAACTTACATTAATGATGATAACTTAGTTCCGAAAAAAAAAATAAAAAATAAAAAAAGTTTTTGGTGTGCAGACGACGAATGGAAATGTGAACTAAAAGCCGTTTGAACTGACGGAAGATTCACGAGGAACTGATTGTTGTTGGGCCCATTGGTCAGAACGGTTATGTGGAGTGGGGCCACTAAGGTAAACTCAATTTTGTAATGTCGTTTACATCAATTCCCTTTCATTTACGACCGTCTTTAAATTATCTACGTGTTTACCTAGCAAAAAAAAAAAAAAACCTTCGAGGTGGTTGGAAAAAGTGCACCGACCGGTTTTTTTTTAAAAAAAAAACATGCAATTTCCGTGAATAATGGGAAAATAATTTTTTTGGTTTACATTTGTTCTTTCGCGACAGATTTTTTTTGCCACGATAAATTTTTATCTTTAATTTAATTTTATCTAAGACCGATTTACATCATATTCGTTACATATCCACGTAATATTTCTCTACTCAATTACAAATTATTATTATTATTATAAATTTTCATTTAATTTTTATTAAATTACATTGTTATCGTCTCCAAACTTGCTACGGTAAAGTTAATAGGTCTTTAATTAAATAAAGAAAAATTTTTTTCATAAGTATTATTCTATTTTAAGAAGGAATTGAAAAAGATGAACAAAATGGCATAAATATGGGAAAACCATAAATATAAAATAAACCGCATTTTTAATTTTAAAAAATGAGCCATTTTGGGTTTTTCTAAGGTACACATACATCTATCTAACCAGATAGCAGACGATGAGAATTTTGGTCGAGCCCACAAAAACTTAGAGCGCATGCTTAAGTTAGAAACAAACTTGTCATCAGCCAAGAAAAAACAGGTTTGCTTTTTTGTGGGTTCTACAACTAGTCTTTTATTAAACACTTATATTTGTTATTAGATTTTCATTCAATTTTTTTTTCTTTTTTTTTTACTAAAACCTGATGAAATCGTATAATTAAAACATTAACTTATTGATATTATATTGAACTTTTGGTGATTGGTTTTCTTGACATTTTTCAGTATTATTATTAAATTATTCCACACGCGGACGTGTCAAGCCCATTAAAATGAATCGGTTGTTTTTGTAACATTTTTACAGAGCTTTGTCAAATTCATTTATAAACTATGTAATATTTTTCTGTTAAAAAAAAAAAAACCGACATAGTATTTATCATGTCTTCTGGAGATTTTAATGAGGGGGGTGCCATTGAGCCTCCACCCGAACTTGAAAATGTGTCAGTAATAGAATATTCTGATTTTGTTGAGTGTCTTAACCAAATTGTCACTTTGCACTTTGAGGAAAAAGTGACACCTCCTGCTTTTTTAGAAGCTCTTCGTAAAACATCTAATCAGGTAGAAAATATTACCAGTCAGCAATTGCTTTTCTTATTCATTTCTATGAAATGTATTTCTCTGAATGTAAAATAATTTATTTATGTAAAACAGGAATCTATAAAAAAATTTATATCAGATCCTCAAGCATTAGTACTCTGTACTCAAAGGAGTTCTGTCAAAGATGAAGATTCCGATCAAAATGAAAATGCTGAAGATGTAATCTATACTATATCAAATGATGTTCATTACAGTCCCAAAATTACAAGTGTTGTGTGTATCAAAAGAGCTAATGTAATCGAAGCTGATAAGCCTGTTATGTCTCAGGTAAGCAATTATTTAAGGTTTTAAGCAACACTCTTGAATTTTTGTACATTATTATTTCATTTTAGTATAAAAATCAATAAATGATATTCTCGAGCACTTGCTTTTAAAATTGAGTCTTACTAAGCTTATTGTTTTCTTTATTTATCAGATTCGAGTCATAAATTTCAGTGAAGATTCACCATATGAAACCCTTCATGCATTTGTCAGTAAAAGTTTGGCTCCTTATTTTAAATCTTACATTAAAGAATCTGGAAGAGCTGAAAGAGAGGGAGATAAAATGGTACCATCTGTGGAAAAGAAAATGACAGAACTTGAAATGGGTCTTCTTCATTTACAACAAAACATCGATATACCAGAAATATCATTACAAGTTCATCCATCTGTAGCGAATGTTGTTAAAAAATGTAGCGAAGAAGGAAGAAAACCAAAAGTCGTAGATTTCGGTGATTTAGTCGAGGATTCAACCTTTTTAAATCAGTTACAAAATGGTGTTAATCGTTGGATCAAAGAAATTCAAAAAGTAAATAATAATTATAAAGTGTAACCCTTTTAAAAAGTTTTCTCGTTTAATAATGTGTGAAATTTTATAATTATTCTAATCATTTAGAATGAATGCCCTTTATGGCATTTTAAATTATGTTTCACTACAATGATTCATAAATTCTTATGCTTCACACAATTTGTTTTTCTAATTTATACGAGCAATAATTGTGAAGGATTTGCAAGTAGGCAAAAGACCAAAACATTTTAATCAGACCATTGGCATTAAGTTATAGACTCTGAATTTTCTTAAAGTTTTTATTAAGCAAAACAATTTTTTTTCAGGTAACAAAATTAGATCGTGATCCATCTTCAGGCACTGCACTTCAAGAAATAAGCTTTTGGTTGAATTTAGAACGAGCTTTATACAGAATCCAAGAAAAACGTGAAAGCCCAGAAGTGACATTAACTTTGGATATATTAAAACACGGGAAAAGATTTCACGCTACTGTTAGTTTTGATACCGATACCGGTAAATTTCATCATCTTATTACTGACACAAATTTTAACATCAATCTTAAATTTTTTTCACCATTTACTGATCTGCATTATGAAATTTTCTTCGGATTGGATAATAATTAAAATAATAAAATTGTGTTGTAATTTTCATTAAAGGTTTAAAGCAAGCTTTGGCAACTGTAAATGATTACAATCCGTTAATGAAAGACTTTCCAATCAACGATTTACTCTCAGCAACTGAACTGGAACGTATTCGAGTGGCAGTCGAAATGATATTTAATCATTTGAGGAAAATTCGTTCCACAAAATATCCGATTCAAAGAGCTTTGCGTCTTGTTGAGGCCATTTCACGAGATCTTAGTTCTCAACTTCTTAAAGTTTTGGGCACGAGGCTTCTTATGCACAAGCCATTTGATGAGTTTGAAAAAGTTCTCACTCAATGTTTTGATATATTTACTACATGGGAGGACGAATACGATAAGTTGCAAGGATTGTTGAGAGATATAATGAAAAAAAAACGAGATGAAAACATAAAACTAGTATGGAGAATTCTTCCTTCTCACAAACGACTTCAAAATCGAATGGAACAAATGAGAAGATTTAGGAGGCAACACGAACAGTTGCGTTCTGTTATTGTAAGAGTTTTACCTCCTGTGTCTGCTGCTGGCAAGAGAAATGTCGAAGATGGAATGTCTTCTGAAGAGGTGATTTTTTTATAACTTGAACATTTGATATTCAAGCCAAAAACGATTTTTATTTATCAATTTTATGTTTAGGTCGAAGAAGGATTAAAAATTTTGGAAACAGCTGACGCGAATGCTATAGAAGAGGTTAATCTCGCTTACGATAACGTTAAAGAGGTTGATTGCTTAGATATATCTAAAGAAGGTAACGCTTTATGGGATGCGGCAGTTCAAAGATACGAAGATAGAATAGATAGGGTCGAAGCAAGAATAACGGCTCATTTAAGAGATCAACTCGGTTAGTGTGTTTCGTATTCGACATTTATTCTTAAAATTATCAAATAATAATCATGCTTTTATAAAAATTATATTTTTTAGGTACTGCGAAAAATGCAAATGAAATGTTTAGAATTTTTTCACGATTCAATGCTTTATTTGTGAGACCTCACATTCGAGGTGCTATTCGAGAATACCAAACTCAATTAATTCAAAGGGTCAAAGATGACATCGAAGCTTTACACGAAAAGTTCAAGGTTCAATATCCTCAAAGCAAAGCGTGTCGAATGAGTAGAGTTAGGGATATTCCTCCGGTTGCCGGTTCTATTATTTGGGCGCAGCAAATTGATAGGCAGTTGACGGCATATTTAAGAAGAGTTGAAGATGTTTTAGGTAAATTAAAAAAATGCTTAAATGTTATTTATAATTTTTTTTCAATTAACTAATAATATTTCTTTTTTATTTTAGGTAAAGGTTGGGAAAATCACATCGAGGGACAGAAACTTAAAGCTGATGGAGATAGTTTTCGACTAAAATTGAATACAACAGAAATTTTCGAAGATTGGGCTAGACGAGTCCAGCAAAGAAACATGGGAGTTTCGGGAAGAATTTTTACCATCGAAACAGCCCGTTCCAGAACCGGACGCGGAAATATATTAAAACTCAAAGTAAACTTTCTGCCTGAAATAATAACATTGTCCAAAGAAGTCCGAAACTTGAGACACTTGGGTTTCAGAGTTCCTCTTGCCATCGTTAATAAAGCGCATCAAGCGAATACTTTATATCCTTTTGCTATTTCTTTAATTGAAAGCATTAGGACGTACGAGCGGACGCTTGAAAAAATTGAACATAAATCTATAATAGCTCCACTTGTTGCTGGAATGCGACAAGACGTACAAAATTTGATAGCCGAAGGAATAGATTTAGTTTGGGAAAGCTACAAGCTTGATCCCTACGTTGAAAGATTGGCGGAAACGGTTTTCAGTTTTCAAGAAAAAGTCGAGGACTTGCTAGTTGTTGAAGAACAATTGGATTTGGATGTCAGATCTTTGGAAACGTGTGCTTATAGCGCTCAGACTTTCTCCGAGATACTTAGTAAAATACAACATTCTGTCGATGAACTTAGCTTAAGACAATATTCCAACCTTCATATATGGGTTCAAAAGTTATATGAAAATGTTGAAAAGCACATGGCTGCCAGGCTTCAAGCTGGAATTGAAGCTTGGACCGATACTCTTAAGGGAAAGAAAAAAGATATAGATCTCACAATGGACACTGATTTACCCACTGAGAATCCTAAAAAAATAGGTTCGATATTTAGTGCGAGTTCAAAATAAAATTTATATAAATTTATATTGAAAATGGATTAATTTAAATTTCGTTTGATTTTTTTTTTTAGGAGGCGAACCTCAAATACCACAAATGGTGTTGGAGGTCAGAATTAAAAATCAAGCCATGTATTTGTTTCCCAGCATTGAGGAAGCGAGATTTCAATTAATGCAACAAATGTTCGCTTGGCAAGCAATAGTCACTTCGCAGCAACGACTTCAAAGTTCTCGATATCATGTCGGTTTAGAAAAGCCTACTTTGGAATCGTACAAACATTTGTTGACAAAGTTGCCGGGTGGACCTGAAGTTTTAGCAAAGGCTTATGAAGCTATAGAATATAAAATTAAAGAGGTACTTCAAGGTTTTAATTTTACTTCTTTGTTAATTTAACAAAAAAATTTTATTTATATTATTATTATTATTTATTTAAGGTTCAAAACTATTCGGCTGAATGGTTTTGTTATCAAGCGCTTTGGGACCTTCAAGCTGATAACGTTTACGGTAAACTCGGGCAAGATATTAATTTGTGGATGAAATGTCTTAATGATATTAAAAAAACGAGAACAACGTTCGACACGAGTGAAACGAGAAGAGAATTCGGACCCGTTGTTTTCGATTATGCCAAAGTTCAAAGTAAAGTTTCACTTAAATATGATTCGTGGCACAAGGACACCTTGGCAAAATTTGGAGCTTTACTGGGCAACGAAATGAATTCATTTCATGCTCAGGTAATTAATCACATGATGAGTTGACTATTCAATATTGATTGCATTTGATTTTATGTAAACTAATTGTAATTATTGAATTTCACTTGCACATTTAGGTCAACAAGTCGCGAACCGAATTGGAACAACAGTCGATCGAAGCAGCCAGTACTTCGGATGCCGTCACTTTTATCACCTACGTCCAATCTTTAAAAAAGCAAATGAAGGCATGGGAAAAGCAAGTCGAACTCTATAGAGAAAGTCAAAGAATTTTAGAGAGGCAAAGATTTCAATTTCCTCAACAGTGGCTTCACGTGGATAATATAGAGGGAGAATGGAGCGCATTTAATGAAATAATCAAACGAAAAGACTCATCGATACAAACTCAAGTTGCAAGTTTACAGGTAGGTCGTGGGATTGCGTTGTTTGCTTTTCAGTAAAATTGAAGAGGGGGAACAAAAAAAAAAAAAAAATTAATTTTATTACAAATTTTTCCAGGTGAAAATTGTGGCCGAAAATAAATTGGTCGAAGCGAGAACTTCTGATTTATTCAACGAATGGGAAAAAACGAAACCCGTGGAAGGTTCCATAAGGCCATCCGATGCATTGCGTCAGTTGCAAACCTTCGAAGCCAAATTTTCTAAATTGAAAGAAGAGAGGGATAATGTTTCCAAAGCAAAAGAAGCATTAGAGTTACAGGTGAGTATTATGAATACAGTAAATTTTCCTTTATTTTAATGTTTACAATTTATATCTTTAAACTTTCATATATTCGTTTTGTAGGAACCCGGTGGTATAAGTTCAAGTGAAGATAAAATGCAGGTCGTATTTGAAGAAATGCAAGATTTGAGAGGAGTGTGGTCCGAATTATCCAGTATTTGGTCACAAATTGATGAAATAAGGGAAAAGCCATGGCTTTCCGTTCAACCCCGTAAATTAAGACAGCAATTGGATGCATTGTTGACTCAGCTCAAAGATCTTCCTGCTAGACTGAGGCAATATGCTTCTTACGAATTCGTGAGAAAAATGCTTCAAAATTACGTCAAAGTCAACATGTTGATCGTGGAATTGAAATCAGATGCTCTTAAGGTAAAAGTCTTACCATTTTGATTTTGTACAAAAATTTTTTTACTTTTTTTTTAAGTCAAACAAAAATAAAAATGATTATTTTCAGGAACGTCATTGGAAAGTATTGATGAAGCATTTGAAAGTCAATTGGATTTTGTCGGAATTGACTTTGGGTCAAGTTTGGGACGTCAACCTTTTGAAAAATGATTCTATTGTTAAAGATATTATATTGGTGGCGCAGGGTGAAATGGCTCTTGAAGAATTTTTAAAACAAGTTCGGGAATCTTGGCAGCACTATCAATTGGATATGGTAAGCGAGGGAGCGTCGAATAAAATTTTTTTTATGAAAAGGGGTAAAGGGTCGAAATATATTATTTTATTTTAATTTAGATAAATTATCAAAACAAATGTAAAATAATTCGAGGATGGGATGATTTGTTCAATAAAGTCAAGGAACACATAAATTCGGTGGCAGCCATGAAACTGTCTCCGTATTATAAAGTTTTCGAAGAGGAAGCATTAACGTGGGAGGAAAAATTGAATAGGATAAATGCTTTATTCGACGTTTGGATTGACGTGCAAAGACGATGGGTTTATTTAGAAGGGATATTTTCGGGGAGCGCGGATATAAAAACTTTATTACCCGTCGAAACGTCAAGATTTCAAAGCATCAGTTCGGAATTTTTAGGTTTGATGAAAAAAGTATCGAAATCTCCAATGGTTATAGACGTTCTTAACATTCCAGGTATTTTTTTTTTTTTTTTTTTTTCTTCGATATTAAAACTAATCAATTGCTTACTTTACGGTAATTCGTGGATTTGCGCAGGCGTTCAAAGATCTCTCGAAAGATTAGCCGACTTATTAGGAAAAATTCAAAAAGCTCTTGGAGAATATTTGGAAAGAGAAAGGACTTCATTTCCGCGATTTTATTTTGTCGGAGACGAAGATCTTCTTGAAATTATCGGAAATAGTAAAAATATAGGAAGATTACAAAAGCATTTTAAAAAAATGTTTGCGGGTGTGGCCGCTTTAACGCTTAGTAAAGAGGATACCGTAATCACGGGTAATTTTCAACCCAATACTTTAAAGTTGTAAGAAATTTTTTTTAAATAAAAATGATAATGGTAAAAAAAAATTTTTTTTTTTAAGGATTGTCTTCGAGAGAGGGAGAAGAAGTGATTTTTACAGAAGAAATATCCACCGTAGAAAATCCTAAAATTAACGAATGGCTTACACTTGTTGAAAAACAAATGAGAATAACTTTGGCATCCTGCCTTGCGAATGCAGTTAAAGACATAAAACAATTTAAAGAAGGTCCGATAAATGCCGAAGAATACATGAAGTGGTGCGATAGGTATCAGGCTCAAATCGTCGTATTAGCCGCTCAAATTTTATGGTCCGAAGATGTCGAAGAAGCTCTCGTTCACATTCACAATTCAACGGATCGTAATATGAAGCCTTTGGAACACGTATTGAATCAGGTTAGGAACGACCTTCATATATATTTTTTAGAAATCTTTAAATTAATCAACTCGTTACAAAATATTTTTTATTTTTAGGTCGAGGCGACTCTCAACATTCTTGCAGATTCCGTACTGCAAGAACAACCGCCTTTACGTCGGAAAAAATTAGAACATTTAATTAATGAATTCGTTCATAAGAGAACGGTTACGCGAAGGCTTATCAGCAACGGAGTGACTAGTCCGAAAGCGTTCGAATGGCTCTGCGAAATGAGATTTTATTTCGATCCTCGTCAAACGGAAGCCCTCCGACAGTTGACCATTCACATGGCCAACGCGAAATTTTACTACGGTTTCGAATATCTCGGAGTTCAAGATAGACTCGTTCAAACTCCCCTTACCGATCGGTAAGAGACTAAATCCCTTAATTATTTATATTTTATACTTTTTTTTTTCTCTACGAAATTTCCAATCATTTTAGATGTTACTTGACAATGACGCAAGCTTTGGAAACGCGTTTGGGAGGATCACCCTTTGGTCCGGCCGGAACGGGAAAAACGGAATCCGTTAAAGCTTTGGGTCATCAATTGGGACGTTTCGTATTGGTTTTCAATTGCGACGAAACGTTTGATTTTCAAGCTATGGGAAGGATTTTTGTCGGTTTGTGTCAAGTCGGTGCTTGGGGATGTTTCGACGAATTCAATCGTTTGGAAGAAAGAATGTTATCGGCCGTTTCTCAACAGGTAATTTATAAATAATATAATAATTTATACTTTTATATTCTCATTTACATAAGAAAATAATTATCATGTGTAAAAAAAAAAAAAAAAAATGTTGCAATTTTAAAGTTGTCAAGTTTTGAAGTTGTTAAGCTTCTTCTTCTCGATATTCATTTTAATCTCTTTTACATAATATTTCATCATAAGGGATTGGTTAATAAATAAATAAAATATATAATTGGAAAATATTTAAATAAAAATGATTTCATAATTTTTAATTAGATTCAAGCCATTCAAGAAGCTCTTAAATCGCAAAAGGAAGGAAGCATTTCCGTCGAGATCGTTGGAAAACAAGTTAAAGTTTCTACGGATATGGCCATATTTATTACAATGAATCCGGGTTATGCGGGAAGATCGAATCTACCGGATAACTTGAAAAAATTATTCAGATCTCTCGCCATGACGAAACCAGATCGTCAACTCATCGCCGAAGTCATGCTTTTCTCTCAAGGTTTTCGTTCGGCGGAAAAACTCGCTTGCAAAATCGTACCGTTTTTCAAACTGTGCGACGAACAATTGTCGAATCAATCTCATTACGATTTCGGTCTTCGTGCTTTGAAATCCGTTTTGGTGTCTGCGGGCAACGTGAAAAGAGATCGGATTCAGCGGATAAAAGAAAATTTGAAAAATAAAGGTGATTCGAACACGGATGAAGCGTCCATTGCCGAAAATCTACCCGAACAAGCAATTTTAATTCAATCCGTGTGCGAAACGATGGTACCGAAATTAGTGGCAGAAGATATTCCTTTATTGTTTTCCCTTCTCTCCGACGTGTTTCCAAATGTCAGTTACACTCGAGCGGAAATGACGAAATTAAAAGAAGAAATAAAGAAAGTTTGTCAAGAAGAATATTTGACGTGTGGAGAAGGAGAAGAAACAGGAGGTGCTTGGATGGAAAAAGTTTTGCAATTGTATCAGGTAAAATTTAAAGAAAAAAAAAGTTTACATAAATGAATTATAAGTCGATTAATTTTTTTTTTTTTTTTTTTTTTTTTTTTTTCTGTTCAGATTTGCAATTTGAATCACGGATTAATGATGGTTGGACCAAGTGGTTCAGGTAAAACTGCCGCGTGGAAAGTGTTGTTAAAAGCATTAGAACGTCTTGAAGGCGTAGAAGGAGTTGCACACGTCATCGATCCGAAAGCCATTTCAAAAGAGGCATTATATGGAGTTTTGGATGCTAACACTCGAGAATGGACGGATGGATTATTTACTCACATTCTCCGTAAAATAATTGATAACGTCAGAGGTGAAATAAACAAAAGGCAATGGATAATATTCGACGGGGATGTCGATCCCGAATGGGTTGAAAATTTAAATTCTGTTTTGGATGACAACAAACTCCTCACTCTTCCGAACGGGGAAAGGTTATCGCTGCCACCCAACGTTCGTATAATGTTCGAGGTACAGGATTTGAAATACGCTACCCTAGCTACGGTTTCGAGATGTGGAATGGTTTGGTTTTCGGAAGATATCCTATTGACCGAAATGATATTTGAAAATTATCTTTCAAAACTTAAAAATATTCCCTTAGAGGGAGAAGATGAAAGGGAAACAAGTATTGGAAGTAAAACAAATGAGAAGAAAATGGACGATGTTCTGAGTCCTACAATGCAAGTTCAAAGAGATGTTGCTCTCATTTTAACTCCTTATTTCGGTCCTGATGCCCTTGTCGTGCGATGCTTAGAATTTGCTATAAAACAAGAGCACATAATGGATTTCACTCGATTGCGAGCGCTTAATTCCCTTTTTTCGATGCTCAATCAAGGAGTGAGAAATGTTTTAGAACATAATGAAAGTCATCCCGATTTTCCTCTCTCCAACGAACAACTGGAAGCGTACATCCCTAAATGTTTGGTGTACTCTTTGTTGTGGAGTTTTTCGGGAGATTCAAAACTAAAAGTACGTTCCAACCTTGGGGACTTTATTCGATCCATCACTACTATTCCTTTACCCGTTTCTACGAACTTGCCTATTATCGATTACGAAGTCAACGTTCTCGGAGATTGGGCGCCCTGGTCGAATAAAGTACCACAAATCGAAATTGAAACTCACAAAGTTGCCGCTCCGGATGTCGTGGTTCCCACTCTTGATACTGTCCGTCACGAATCATTGCTTTATACTTGGCTAGCCGAACATAAACCGTTGGTCTTATGTGGACCTCCTGGATCTGGAAAAACAATGACTTTGTTTTCGGCTCTCAGAGCTTTGCCAGACATGGAAGTTGTCGGTTTAAATTTTTCATCGGCTACCACACCTGAATTGTTACTAAAAACTTTTGACCATTACTGCGAATACCGCAAAACTCCCAATGGTGTAATACTCTCTCCCGTTCAATTGGGAAAATGGCTTATTTTGTTTTGCGACGAAATTAATTTACCCGATATGGATAGATACGGAACTCAAAGAGTCATTTCATTTTTACGACAGCTTGTGGAACACCGGGGTTTCTACAGGTCAAGCGATCAAGCTTGGGTATCATTGGAAAGAATACAATTTGTGGGTGCTTGCAATCCTCCCACCGATCCTGGAAGAAAACCTCTTTCGCACAGATTCCTTCGTCACGTTCCAGTTATTTACGTTGATTATCCCGGTGAAACATCATTGAAACAAATCTACGGAACATTCAGTCGTGCAATGTTAAGACTCGTGCCCACTCTACGAGGATTTGCTGAGCCTTTGACAAACGCGATGGTTGAATTTTATTTAGTGAGCCAAGAAAAATTTACCCAAGACATGCAACCTCATTACGTTTACTCCCCTCGTGAAATGACAAGATGGGTTCGTGGAATTTGTGAAGCTATTCGTCCTTTGGATACTATTTCGTCGGAAGGCTTAGTCAGGATATGGGCTCACGAAGCTTTAAGATTATTCCAAGATCGTTTGGTCGAGGATCACGAACGGAAATGGACAAACGAAAATATTGATGCGGTTGCCATAAAACACTTTCCTGGAATCAACAAGGAAACTGCGTTGGCAAGACCTATCCTATACAGTAATTGGTTGACAAAAGATTATTTGCCCGTGAACAGAGAAGAATTGAGAGATTATGTTAAGGCTAGACTCAAAGTTTTCTACGAAGAAGAACTCGATGTTCAATTGGTATTATTCGATGAAGTTTTAGATCACGTTTTAAGAATAGACAGGATATTTAGGCAACCCCAAGGACATTTGCTTTTAATAGGTGCTTCTGGAGCTGGAAAGACAACGTTATCCAGATTCGTAGCCTGGATGAATGGTCTTTCCGTGTTTCAAATCAAAGTCCACAATAAATATACCGGTGAAGACTTTGACGAAGATTTAAGAAGCGTGTTAAAGCGCTCCGGATGCAAAGACGAAAAAATTGCATTCATTCTAGACGAGTCAAATGTTTTAGAGTCTGGTTTCCTCGAGCGAATGAATACGTTATTGGCCAACGGAGAAGTTCCCGGTTTATTCGAAGGAGATGAATACACGACTTTGATAACTCAATGCAAAGAAGGAGCTCAAAGAGAAGGTTTGATGTTAGATTCTAATGAAGAATTATATAAATGGTTTACAGGGCAAGTAATGAAAAATTTACACGTTGTATTTACAATGAATCCAAGTTCGGAAGGTTTGAAAGATAGAGCCGCAACTTCACCTGCTTTATTTAACCGTTGCGTTCTCAATTGGTTCGGTGATTGGTCGGATGGAGCACTCTATCAAGTCGGTATGGAATTCACCAACAGAATAGATTTAGATCGTCCGACGTGGACGCCACCCGACACTCTTCCAATCACAAATCATAGATTACCAGCTCATCCGACGCATCGTGAAGCGGTCATTAATGCTTTCGTATACGTTCACGAAACTTTGCATAAAGCAAATGCTAGGCTCACGAAGAGAGGAGGTCGAACGACCACAATCACTCCTCGTCACTACCTTGATTTTATTAATCATTTCGTTAAATTATACAATGAAAAAAGATCTGATTTAGAGGAACAGCAGTTGCACTTGAACGTTGGTTTAAATAAAATTGCGGAAACAGTAGAACAAGTCGAGGAAATGCAAAAGTCTCTCGCTGTCAAATCCCGAGAACTTAACGAAAAGAACGAAGCGGCGAATGCAAAACTTCGTCAGATAGTTAAAGATCAACACGAGGCGGAAAAGAAAAAACTTCAAAGCGAAGAAATACAGGAAGCATTGGAAAAGCAAACGATTCAAATCGCTCAAAAACGGGAAGATGTCATGGTTGATTTGGCGCAAGTCGAACCAGCCGTCATAGATGCTCAACAAGCTGTTAAATCCATCAAGAAACAATACCTCGTTGAAATTCGTTCGATGGCGAATCCTCCGGCTATCGTCAAACTCGCTCTCGAATCGATTTGTTTACTCCTCGGTGAAAATGCCACCGATTGGAAGGCAATACGTGCCGTCATAATGCGGGAAAATTTCATCAATTCCATCGTTCAGAATTTCAGTACGGAAGGCATAACCGACGAAATGAGAGAGAAAATGAAAATTAAATATTTAAGCAATCCAGATTACAATTTCGAAAAAGTCAACAGAGCCAGTTTGGCTTGCGGCCCTATGGTCAAGTGGGCGATTGCTCAAATCAATTATGCAGACATGTTGAAACGTGTGGAACCTTTACGGGACGAATTAAAATCGTTAGAAGTTCAAGCGGATGAAAATAAAAATAAATACGAAGAAGTTAAAAATCTCATTTCGCAATTCGAACAAAGCATCAGTTCTTATAAGGATGAATACGCTTTGTTAATATCTCAAGCTCACGCGATCAAAATCGATTTGGAAAATATACAGGCAAAGGTCGACAGATCTCGAGCTCTCCTTCGTTCCCTGGCAATCGAAAGTGAACGTTGGGAATCCACGAGCGAAACATTCAAATCGCAAATGTCGAGCATAATCGGAGACGTTTTATTGTCTTCGGCGTTCTTATCTTATGCCGGTTACTTTGATCAGCACTACCGTCAAAACTTGTTTACGACTTGGTGTCATCATTTACAACAAGCAGGAATACAATTCAGGTTGGATATCGCCCGAACGGAATATTTGTCCAATCCGGACGAACGTCTTCGTTGGCAAGCCAATGCATTGCCCACGGATGATCTTTGCACCGAAAATGCTATCATGCTTAAGAGATTCAACAGGTATCCTCTAATAATCGATCCATCCGGACAAGCCACGGAGTTTATCATGAACGAATTTGCCGATCGTAAAATTACCAAAACGAGTTTTTTGGACGACTCGTTCAGAAAGAATTTAGAATCGGCACTAAGGTTTGGTAATCCGTTATTGGTACAAGACGTTGAAAATTACGATCCGATTTTGAACCCGGTTTTAAATCGGGAACTGAGAAGAACCGGTGGTAGAGTGCTCATCACGTTGGGCGATCAGGACATCGATTTGTCTCCCTCTTTTGTTATCTTTTTGTCAACCAGAGATCCCACGGTGGAATTTCCTCCGGACATTTGTTCCCGTGTTACGTTTGTCAATTTTACCGTTACACGAAGCTCGCTTCAAAGTCAGTGTTTGAATCAAGTTTTGAAAGCTGAGCGGCCGGATATTGATGAAAAGCGTTCGGACTTATTGAAACTTCAAGGAGAATTTCATTTGCGTCTTCGCCAATTAGAAAAATCATTATTGCAAGCGTTAAATGACGCCAAAGGTAAAATCCTCGACGATGATAGCGTCATTACTACTTTGGAAACGTTGAAGAAAGAAGCGGAAGATATTAGCCGGAAGGTTGAAGAAACTGATAAAGTTATTGCGGAAATTGAAACCGTATCGCTTCAATACCTTCCTCTCTCGCAAGCCTGCAGCAACATATATTTCACGATGGACAGTCTCAATCAAATACATTTCTTATATCAATACTCATTGAAATTTTTCCTCGAAATATTTTCTTCCGTTTTACATAATAATTCCGAATTGGCTAATTTAACGGATAACGCTGCCAGGTTGGGAGTCATAACAAAAACTTTATTTTCCGTTTGTTACGAAAGAGTCGCCAGAGGTATGTTACACGCTGATCGTTTAACGTTTGCACTCTTGCTTTGCCGCATACACTTGAAAGGTGTTCCCAACGAGAGTGTTTTCGACGAAGAATTTCATTTCTTTTTACGTGGAAAAGAAGGAATGCTAGACGTGAATCCTCCCGCAATCGAAGGTCTCAATCAGGAACAGTTGGAAGCAATTATGCGAATTTCAACGAAATTAAAACCCTTCCGAAATATTGCCAAAATAATCACTTCGATGCCCGAATTCGGAGCGTGGTTGCAGCAAAGCACTCCCGAGCAAAACGTACCCAAATTATGGGAAAACGTTACTTTGAGCGATATAGGAGACGCCATGTATCAGTTATTAGCCATACAAACATTTAGACCGGATAGAGTCATAGCAGCTGCAACGCAATTTGTATCGGTAGTTTTAGGCGAGGATTTCATGCCGATGGCTGAAAAAGAATTGAATTTGGCCGAACGTTGGGAGTCGGAACTTCGCGCCAACGTACCCATTTTGTTATGTTCGGTTCCGGGTTACGATGCTTCCGGCAGAGTCGATGATTTAGCCGTCGAATTAAAAGTACCTCTGGCGAGCATTGCCATTGGTTCTGCCGAAGGATTTAGCCAAGCAGAAAAAGCCATAAATGTAGCCGTTAAATCAGGGCGGTGGGTCCTGTTGAAGAACGTGCATTTGGCTCCTCAATGGCTGGTCCAACTCGAGAAAAAATTGCACTCCATTCAACCGCATTCTAATTTCCGTTTATTCTTGACGATGGAAATTAATCTTAAACTTCCGGTTAATTTATTGAGAGCGGGTCGGATTTTCGTGTTCGAACCGCCGCCGGGTATTCGAGCCAACTTACTTCGTACTTTCAGTACTGTGTCTGCTCAAAGAATGATGAAAGCTCCGTCCGAAAGAGCAAGGTTGTATTTCTTATTGGCTTGGTTTCACGCCATCGTTCAAGAACGTCTTCGTTACGCTCCTTTGGGATGGGCTAAATATTATGAATTCAATGAATCCGATTTGAGAGTTGCATGCGACACTCTGGATACTTGGATCGAAGCCACGGCCATGGGCAGAACGAATTTACCACCTGAAAAAGTACCTTGGGACGCGTTGGTGACCCTTCTTTCGCAGTGTATTTACGGTGGAAAGATTGACAACGATTTCGATCAAAGGCTTCTCGCTAGTTTTCTCGCGAAATTGTTCACGCCTAAAAGTTTTGAAACTGACTTTGCGTTGGTGGCAAACGTGGACGGAGTCGCAGGAGGGCCCGGAGGTCAGCGTCACATCACCATGCCTGACGGAAATCGTAGGGATCAATTTTTACAATGGATAGAAGCCTTATCGGATCGCCAGACGCCTTCTTGGCTCGGTCTTCCGAACAATGCGGAAAAAGTATTGCTTACGACTCTTGGAACGGATTTAGTTGGAAAACTCTTGAAAATGCAACAGTTGGAGGACGATGAAGAATTGGCATATTCTCCGGATGAAAGTTTAGATCAGACCATAGTGCAAGATGTAGATGGCAGGCCATCTTGGATGAAGACTCTTCACAATTCAGCAACCACGTGGTTGCAACTTTTGCCGAAATCTCTTAAAACGTTGCGCAGAACGGTGGAAAATATTAAAGACCCGATATATAGATATTTCGAACGGGAAGTTAATTTGGGTTCTAAATTATTATCGGACGTCATTCACGACTTGGAAGATATTTCTTTGATATGCCGAGGTGATAAGAAACAAACAAACTATCACAGAGCCATGCTCAGTGATTTAGTTAAAGGTATACTGCCTGGTCACTGGAGGAGGTACACGGTTCCTCGCGGTTGCACGGTCATACAATGGATAACCGATTTCAGTCAGCGTATAAAGCAACTGCAGGAAGTTTCAAAAGTGGTATCCAACAAAGGAGCCAAAGAGTTGAAATCGTTTAACGTTTGGCTCGGTGGCCTCCTCAATCCGGAAGCATATGTCACCGCCACGAGGCAATCCGTGGCACAAGCCAACGGTTGGTCACTGGAAGAACTCGTGTTGGACATAACCATATCCGACGGTAACGACGTTAACGCAGACGATTGCAGTTTTGCCGTCATCGGTCTCAAACTTCAAGGAGCTCAGTGCAGGAATAATCAACTTCACTTGACGTCGGCCATAATGACCGAGCTCCCGATGACTCTTTTACGTTGGGTTCGAGCTTCCGCCGTATCGAACGGTAAACTATCATTACCCGTTTATTTGAATTCGACGAGAACGGAACTTCTTTTCACGGTCGATTTGAACATCGCGGCGGGACAAGAGCGGCATTCGTTTTACGAACGCGGCGTTGCCTTATTGACATCGACCGCGCTCAACTGATCTTGGGATAATGAGTTCAACCGTACCTCGAAAGAAAGAGATTACGGTACTGGAAAAGAACTCATTTTCACAATGAACCTTCACAAATATCGCGTTTATCCTTAATTAATCGATCGAAAGAAAAAATAATAATAATAACAACCTTCCGACATTTAATTAACTAACAAACAAACAAACATTATCCTGTGATCGTAATTTTTTTTTTTTTTTTTAAAGTATTTATTATTATTATTATCATTATTGTATACAAAAATACCGGAATCTTATTAATACGTTTAAAACAATTATTTATATGTAGATATAGTAATAATAATAATAATAATAATAAATATAAAATGATATGTTCTGCTTTAATTAATTTATAATATTAATAATAATAATAATAATAATTGCCTTGTTAAACAAATGAACAAATTTATACTGTAAAAATCTTAAATTATATTTATATGTGTAATAACGCTTATTTGAGAAAATTATTATCATTATTATTTAAGCTATAATATATATATATTTTTAATCCGATAACTCAAAAAAAATCTCACGAATTATTATTATTATTATTTATTAATTAATTAAATAATTATCAATATACTGTATGCAATTTTCAAAATAAAATTAATATGAGCTTTATTATTATTATTATTATTATTATTATTATTATTATTTATTGCCAAATATATTTAAAATTTAAAAAAAAAAAAAATTTTTTTTATTTATTTTCTTTTAAACAAAAAAAAATCCTTTTTATTTAAACAAAAAAATGGAAATATTTAAATAAAATAAATTATTTATTTATTTATTTATTTATTTAATTATATATATTCACATTTTTTTTTATTTATTATTAATTTTATAAATTTTACATTTAACATATTTACATTATTTATTTATTTATTTATATAATTAATTAAGTCTCTGAGAATTCGTAGTGTTTGACTTTTTCTTTTTCTTTACCACGAAATGATTCAAAGAAAATCTTTTCATCAAGTTTGAGTACTTGACAGAGAGAAATAGAGAGAGAGAGAGAAAAGAAAAAGGAAAGAAAATATATATATATACAATGTGTGTATAAATAATAATAATAATAAAATTGAGCAGAGGAAGACTGTAAAAGCTGTGTCAGGCTTTCAATTTTTTTTTTTTTTTCATATTTAAAATAAAAAAAAAACTTGAAACGAATCGGAAAATTCATATTTCGTTAAAAAAAAGCCTGAATAATAATAATAATAGTAATAATAATGTTGATAATGATGAAATTATCATTGCGGTGGTTCAAATGTTTCGGAATCGGGACTTCCATACCCGCTCGAACCGTCATCTCTTATGCTCTTATGAGGATGATTGTGATGGGGAGCCGTGGGGGTGGCTGCGGTGGCCGTAGCTGTGGCGGTGGGGGCGGCAGTCCCCCCGCTACCACATCCCGAAGACGTTCCTCCACTTGATTTAACATAATTTGTTGTGTTAAATGAATTAATTTGGCACGTTGGCAATGGCTCTCGTCCTACATTTTGCGTTAGATTGTTTCCTGCTGACTGAAGAAATTTTCCGTTAGACTTTTTTTTGTTATCATTATTATTATTATTTTTTATAGACAAAATCAAGTTGAGGAAATTTTTTTTTTTTTTTTTTTTTTTTCGGTTTAGGTTTATCGGAACGAATGACGATGATGATGATGATGATGATGATGACTTTTTTAAAGGATGATTGATTGATTAGTGAATCATTTGGGGAGGACCATATAAATTTACCTGCAGATTACCGACTTGCCTTCGTATGTGTGCGAGGCTCGAAGGATTGTACGCCATGTTGGCGAACACCAGTCTTTCTTCGTAGTCGTATTCACATAAGATTTTGTTGTCGCAAAGGTAAAATCTGTCTCCGACACAAAACCTGACAAAAAAATAAACGGTTTAATAACAGTTACGCGTGCAAGAAAAAAGGTATGAACGGGGATTTTTTTATCTTTATTACCTGTGATTACATTGTTGACAGGCAAAACATTCCAAATGATAAACGTTACTTTTTGCTCTCATGACCATTTCGAATGCCGGTATTACTTTGTTACAAGCAGCACAATATCCTGTCGTACCGAACAATCTAAAACAAATTTAACGTACACGTGTGGAAACACGTCGTTTTGAAAACACGAGTGGGGGTGGGGGGTGGGATTCGAAGGGAAACATGATCAATTAATTAATTTCCGGTAGATAAATAAATGATAATAATAATGGTTGACCTCTAACCTTAAGTAATCCCTCTTACAGAGTATGAGATTGGCTTTTGTATACAACGTGGATCCAACTTCTCCAAGTCTGCAATCGCAGCATCCACATTTAAGGCAATCCTCGTGCCAAAACAAGTCGATAGCTTTAAGGAGGAAGCGCTCGGTGATTCTTTTCCCACAACCCGCGCATTCTCGAGGCCCAGAACTCGGAAGCGCCTGCGCCACGGTGGTGGCTCCCAATGCGGCGCTAATCGAAGCAATATTTCTTCCGCTAGCAGAAGACAAAATGTTGCTCTCTCCCAGACCCGAATCTACGATTAAAAATTCATACACACACACACACACACACACATATATATAGATATATAATAAATTAAATTACGCACACGTGTATGTGTGTACGTGCATCATACAAAAAATACGGTTCGCGGAGGCGGAGGAGTGCGTGCGTGCATTAGAACGGGTATTTAACACCACGTGACGAGTATTTCCCCCCACCCCCGGTTTAAAACTTAAATTTTATAATATTTGATCGGCGGAAAGATGGGAAAAAAAACATGATAATAATAACGTACCCTCCTCTCTCTCTCTCTCTCTCTCTCTCTCTCTCTCTCTCGAATCATTTAAGATTAAATACCTCGATTATTTTTCCTTTTTTTTTTCCTTTTTCCTTTGACTCTAAGAAAGGGAGAAAAAAAAGAAGAAGGAGGAGGAGGAAAAGGAAAAGAAAAAAAAAACAAAAGCTGCGCCAAAAAAACAAAGAAGGAAAAAAAACCCGTTTCTTGGCAATTACAATTTTTCATAAGAAATTAAATTAATTTAAATTGTCTCATAAAATGAAAATTAATAACATTAACTTTAATTTATTTTTCCAAAGCTCGCATTAAGCGGCCTTTTTCCTCGGCCACCGCTCCGCCACTTCCACCGCCACCACCATCAAAGCCACCGCCACCCCTACCACCCCTACCACCATCACCATCGCCATCGCCATCGCTAGAATCATCACCGCCACTTTCTTTCTCTCTCTCTCTCTCTCCCACTCACTCTCTATACTCTTTTTCCTCTTATCCTCCCCTTATCCCTTTTAACCCCTTCCCCACTCCCTCTCCCCTCTTTCCCACTCTTTTTTCCCCCTTCTCGGTATTGATTAATTAGCTTTTCTTTATTTGCACGGCCTGAAAAACGCCGTGATTCGAAAATGTCGGAAAAAAAAAAAAATTTTTCCTTTCTTTCTTTCTTTCTTCGTTTTTTTTTCATTTTTTTTTTTTTTTTATATAAATACGCAGCGTTTAAATAAAAATGGCAAATTTATTCCCCCCCCTTACCCCCTCATCCCCCACCGTATCCCACCCCATCCTACCCCCACCATCTTTTTTCTTTCTTTCTTTTTTTTAAAATTAATTATTTACTTTAATTAAATATAAAAACGAATGGAAAATATTTATTAAAAAAAAAACAAATTATTATTATTATTATTATTATTATTATTATTATTAATTATTATTATTATTTTGATATTAATAAATTAAAAGAAAAGCTCTCATTCTCTCTTTTTTTTTAATTATGTTTTTTTTCGAAACGAAACGTTATTATTCCGATAATCAATAAAGAAATAATACAAAAAAATGATGATGATGATACATAATTTATTTATTTATTTATTATGGAAAAATAAATTTCTTCTATGTACATAATATTTAATTAATTAACGTAAATGGCCATTCATTCATTCGTATTTACTTTATATATGTTGCAAAGGTTGAGGGGAAAAAAACGAGCGAAAGTTCTAAAAAAAAAAAAAAAACAATTTTTTTCCATTCTGGAATGTTAAAAAAAAGGAGAAAAAAGGAGGAGGAAGGGGAGGAAGAGGAGGGGAGGGGAAAACCCTGGAAAAGCCATCTGGAAATTAGAAAGTTGTTTCTGAGATATTAGGCTGTCACTTTTAAAGCAGTCTGCCATAACTTTCATAAAACCCGGTTCAATTCCATCAATTTGTAACCGCCGCAAAATCCCCCCCCCCTGCGTCTCTCCGACACGTTACTACTACTACTACTCCCCCGCTCTTGCTCCTGCCACTGCGACTACTTCTACCACTACTACCACCACTTTTACTACTGCCCCTTTCATTTATTATCCTTTTTCCCCCGTTTTTTTTTTTTTTTTTTACTATTTTCCTTTTCCTTTTTTATTATTAATAATATTATTGCTGCCATCATCATTAATTTTTTCTTTTTTTCCCCTCCCCCTCCCCCCTCCTCCTCCCCTTCACTTTCTTCGTAAAAGCACGAGGAAAAAAATAATGATAATAATTTTCCGGGTTAATTTTTTTTTAACACGTGAATTAATTTAAACGCGACTATTTTTCACGATCACATGACACGTTCGTTAAAAAAAATTAAATAATAATAATAATAATAATGGATCTTGATTTTCCGAAAGAATAGAAAGAGAGAGAGAGAGAGAGAGAGAGAGAAACAAAGAAAAAAATTTTAATTATTTTAATATTATACGAGAGAAAACTATTTTTCGAAACTTTTTTTTTTCCCAAAGAAAATATACAAGGATATAACGTTGTTAAAAAAAAAACAAAGGTTTTCCTTCCCTCGCCATCTTTCTTTCTCTCCCTCCCTCTCTCTCTCTCTCTCTCTTTTTCTCTCTCTCTTTGTATCAATTCTTTTATCCATATTTTTTTTTTTTTTTACGGGTAGGATCCATGCCCTATTTTCAAGGACAATGAAAGCAAGGACTTGCAACGCCTTCGCCTTTTTCACGGGTAAGAATTACAGGGAGCACGAATAGATAGATAGAAAAAGAGAGAGAGAAAGAAAGAGAGAGAAAGATTGAGTGAGAGAGAGAGAGAGAGAGATATTTCAACCTCCTTCCGTCTTGCCCTATCATTGCCCTTAATTTAATTAACACGAAGCTTCCATACTTTTCTCATTTCCTTTTTTTCAAGGAGAGAAGCACGAGGAGGAGGAGGAAAGGAAAGAGAAAGAGTAGGAAAAAGACGAAGAAGAAGAGGGAAGTGGGAAGTGGGAGCAGGAACCAGGAAGGGAGGAGGGAGGATAAAATAATTAAATGAATATTTCTGGGATGCGAGAGATTTCATTTTTTAAAATTAATGAGCTTTTCTTTTAATCCAGAATTTTTTAATGAAAAAGTAGAAACCTAATTAGTAAATTAAAATCAGGGGCGTAATCATGAAAGAAATAATAATAATAATAATAATGATGATAATAATAATAATAATAATAATAATAATAATAAAAGAGGAAAAAACGCATTAAATCGATAAAATAAAAAAAAATTTTTTTTTTTTGCCTTTATTATAAAATTTTATGTAATGGAGTTAAATAAAAATTACAAATACGCGAGTTAAAACAAGAAGAAAAAAACAACAACAACAATAATAATAATAATAATAATAATGATAATGATAATGATGATAATAACAATATATAAATAAATATATATTTTTTTAAAAGTCAGGTAAATCGTTTCAAATTTAGTAAATTAATTTCTTTGTAGTTTTTAAATTAAATTTCATTGTAGTGTGTGTGAGTGTGTTTTGAAAATAATAATAATAATAATAATAATAATTAAAGTTTCCCGGTTTCTTTCTTTCCATTTTTCTCCCTTCTATCCTCACGTGGTCTGCTTCTTACCCTTCCCTTTCCTTCCCTTTCCCCCTTTTTTATTTAGTTTTAAAATGTTTTTTTTTTCTTTTCCCTCTCCCCTCCATTTTCTCTTACCACGTCTACTCATATAAAATCATATAAATTTTTATTTATATTTATTTAATTGACGTTATAATTGTGTGCGTGTGCACGTGTGCGCGTGCGCGTGCGAATGAATGAAAAATAAAAAAATAAAATCCAAAATAATAATGAAAGATTTTAAAATAATAACAACGGTAGATCATACAAAAAAAATATTTATAAAATTTGTCATGAGGATTTTTAAAAATGGCGCCCTCACCACCCCTTCCCCTCCTCACCCCTCCCCCCCGGATTAAGATGATCTTATTTTTTTTTATAAAAAAAAAAAAAAAACTAATAATTCAAATGTTGAAGATTTTAGATAAAATAAAAAAAATTTTTTTTCCCATTTTTTGTCCTTCGTTCGTGTTTTCCTGCAAGTTTTATTTTTATTTTTTTATTTTCAACAGAAACAACAAAAAAGAAAAAAATGGAAAGAAAAAGAAAGAAAAAGAAAAAACCAATTAAATTTTTTGTGTAAGGATTAAAAAAAAAAAAAAAAATTTTTTTTTTTGTGATATATCTCAATGTTGTTATTTTTCGAGAGCGAGAGAGCGAGAGAGAGAGAGAGAGAGAAATAGTAATAATAGAAAATTAATAATGATAATGATAATAATGATAAAATATAAGTGAAAAAATGCAATATCGAAAGCTCTCCTTCTTTTTTCGAAAAAAAAGTGAAAAAAATACCCGAGAAAAAATGTTAAACGTTCTCAAAATGATTATTATTTTCACTTAATACATCTAAAAAGCTTTTCTTCCCCCCCCTCTCTCTCTTTCTCTTTCTCTCTCTCTTTTCTCTTTTTCTTTTTTTTTTTTTAAAGTATTAAGACACGGTTTTTACAAAAAAAAAAAAATTTATCAAAGTTTTGCCTTTTTTTTCCTTTTCGGTTAAATTGATGATAATGATAATGCACTGCTGCCCCAAGGATTAACCTATTTATATAATTTTATTGTTTTTTCCTTCCCCTTCCTCCCCTCCCTCCATCCTTCCCCTTCCCTCTCCCCCTTCTTTCTCCTTTTTACATGCATTTGAAAACGAACTCATTTATTTTATTATTATTATTATTATTATTACTAATGATAAAGTTACAGGAATAGGAACGACGTAAAGTTTTCTTTTTTCCTTCCCCCCCTCGCTTTCCCTACACTTCCCCCCTCTCTCTCTCATCCGTCGTTTAACCAGAAAAACGATTTCTTTTAAATTCAATAAAGGCGGGGGTAAGAAAAAAAAAAAAAAAGAAAATTCAAGATTCATTTTTAATATATAATTTTTTTTTTTTTTTTCTTAACCGCAGCTTTGAGCGGGTCGGGGGGTGGGGGTGGGAGGACAGAAGAAGCAGAAGAGAAAAATTCAAATCTAAAAATTTAATGCAAAAAAAAAAATTGTATATTTATATTATAAAATGGTTGAATAGATCGACTGATTGAATTGCTTTCCTTGCCAGAAAAATAATATTTCATGCTTCGGATGGGAAAAGGAAGAATGCCGGAAATGGAAATTGGGAAGAAAAAAAAAAAAAGTACGCGGCTCAGATGTGTTCCTGTTCCTGTTGTTCCTGTTGTACGACCCGGATATTCGAGCCGCGATCGAGCCTCCGAGGAAAATTCCACGGAAACGTCGGTTCGAGTAGTAGCAAGATAAGGGGA